GATGACGAGATGATGATGTGATGATGCTGCTGCTGATGATGATGATGATGATGATGATGATGATTGATGATGATGAGGACGAGGACGAGGCCGAGGACGAGGATGAGGATGAGGATAAAGGAGAGCAGGAGGAGAGGAGGAGGAGAAGGAGGAGGAGGAGGAGGGAGGAGGAGGGGGAGGAGAAGGAGGAGGATGAGGAGGAGGAGGAGGAGGAGGATTACGAGGCAGAGGCTGACGGGGAGGAGGAGGGTGAGGAGGAGCAAGAGCAGGACCAAGAGCAGGATGCAGAGGAGGAGGGGGGAGGTGGAGGAAGATAACGGATGAGGCACAGGGGGTCGGGGAAGGAACGAGGAGGAGGAGGACGAGGAGGAGGAGGAGGAGGGCGAAGAGTAGGAGAAGTCACAGAGTTACGGAGTTTCGGAGTTACGGATATTGAGACCATGTCAGTCGGTTAGATGGGCTACCGAGTTTCTCGTCTGGCCAGCTCGGCTTTGCTGTTAGCCGTTGGCCAGACCCTTCTGGCGATCTTGTTTCTTTTTTCTTTTAGAAACAAGTGTATATATATCTATATGTATATATATATACACGATTACCTGTCGCCTGATGGGTACACTTGTTCGCCATCAACCCTGTAAGTTGCTGAGACGCGAATGACCCACAGGCTCCGCAGAACCAAACCCCCAACCCAGCGTGGAACTGAAGGACGTGGCTACTATGCCCCCCCCCCAAAGATAGGCACCCGGCATCCTTGGGGTGGGGTGGGGTGGGGGTGGGGAAACGGTACCGTCGATCTGAGAAGCAGGTTAAAACATGGGGAATCCAACGAGTCCTGGAGCTTCGCCTGGGAGGCCGACCCCTTGCAATCGCGAGTTGCCTTTTTTCCCCCTCAGCCTGTGCACAGTCGAGAACAACCTTGCACTTCCTGGGAGCAGGAGGTCTCACTGGGTGCTGGCGAGCACTCGGGTCATCCCCAGCTATCTGTTTCTCTGAACGCAGCGCCTCAACAGCACTGGGGAGCAACCTCATGCGCACGCAGTGCGCCGTCTTCTCCGTCTCCAGCAGGCGGTGGCGGTCAGCTTCGGGAGTAGGAACCTCCTTCGCAGCCTGCCCCGCCAGAAGATCCGCAGCAGCGTCGCCATAAGCCAAAGGCATCGGGCCCGACCTCGAGGGAGATCCACTGCCTCCTGATGTGAATACACGAAAAGTGCAGTGCAGACCAGATCCCGACACCTAATGAGCAGCAAGCTGGTCCCATGCCACAGGTCAGCGTTTTCTCCCTGGGGACCTCTCCAAGCACAGGTATACCAACCGCTACAGACTCCATACTTATCCGTGGTCTAGATCACGTGTCCAGTGGCCTTCGGATGGCCGTGGGCAGACCGAACAGCTCGTCCTTGGGCACCGACTGCACTTCTCCTGGGAGGCCTCCCCAGATCGCGCGCGAAATCTCCACGGGCTTCGTCATCCCGGGATAGACAGCCAGTCCGATTCCAACTCTGCGTAGCCTGCTGTCCCTGCTGTCGGCCCCGCCGCTCGAGTCACCGAAGATGAACAGTGGGTGGCTCTCGTCTCCGTGGCCAGGGACTCAGGCCTGACAACTTCCAGCCCATAGCAACTCCAAGCGGTGTGCTCCTGGGGCGCTGGCATCCGTACCCATGAGGCGGGCAGCAGCCCTCGTAGCCAGAAGCACGCCTCGGATCCACGTCGGGTGAAAGCTTGCGACAAGTATTCTGAGGAACGCCTGTGAATCTCATGATCTCCGATGGAACCATGTATCGGGCTCCTATCGGCAACGCGCACATGTGGTGTCCCAGGCTCGCTTAGACCATGCAGACCTGCGATCCCTTGGCCACGCCGCTCCAGCCGCCGTAGCTAGTAGCAGCCCTGCCAGACGAGCTCCGTCAGGTCCTTCTCGCAGTTGCCTCACCAGCGCCAACGATGCGTTGCAAATGCCATCCTGCATGCCTTCACCGTCGAAGTTACGAGCAGCCAATCTTCATTGCCGTTACATAATGGTCTGCTCGAATTCGCGAATGAATCAAGATGGGATATTCAAATCAGGTACCACTGCCAAATTGGCGACGTCGAACTGCCAGGTGTGCTGGGCCGTGATGTCAGTTTGTGGGACATCCCACTGCGCTGGTCCTGTAGGCCCCCCCCAGCCTTCTTGCAGCAGGATGCAAATGAACGCAGCGGTCCACCCACGTGGCGGCTCCGAAGATGTAGGGGTATATGCTGCAACCCATGAACCAGAGACTGCCAAGACTGCTGGACCCCTGCTCGCAAGGATGGCTGTGAAATCCAGGTTCGCAGCCAAAGCTGAATGCGTTCCCTCGGCACGCACACTCCTGGACCACGCCCAGGAGCCACCAGGTCCCAAAGCGGTGTAGCACATCGCTCCGAGAGTCTTGGGGCTGCTGCGTCGCACAAAGAAGCTCCGCATCTGCTGCATCATCCTGCCAGGGACCACATGAAGTTGGTGGCCATGCGAGCCAGCTGCCAGGGCGCCCTGCTGCTCCAGCGGTGCCGTCGGGCGATAGCGCCCTAGCTGCCCTGGCGTAGCGCACGATCTTGGCGTGCATCTTGACATGTTCGCTGGTCCTAGCAGTCCTGCATGCGCGTGCGTGCCGTGTACCACCGCCGGAATCTCCGCCCGGGTATGGCGCCTGGGCCGCCGCGCGAAGTCGACACCCTTTTGCACGGACACGCCTGACAACCTCCCTGGCGGCGATCAGTTTGGTGCAAGCCACCGCTGACTTTGGTGAAATGCGCAGTCCATGGGCCTCCATCTTTTGACATGTTGTAAATCGGCATCGCGCAAACATGCGACGAACTGCGGCCCTCGAACCTTTGGCAACCTGTTTAAATCGCCGATCCAACAGCGAGGTGTCATGCTCACCTGTGCTGTCGTAATTCTCTGCATGTGATCTGTAACTGTCTTGGCGAAGCGTGTCCCAGCGCGCAGGCCTTGCACGACAGAGCGTGTCGGAGCGAACGCCCCCGCGTACGCTCCTGACTGCCTGAGACACCTCGTCGCCATACACTGCCGGAGCTCTGGGCCCAGCACCTCCGCGGGGCACTCCAGCCTAAGGGCCGCCTGCCCCAGGCGTAGCCAGCCGATGGTGTCGTAGAACTTCTCGATGCCCAGCAGCACGTGGCCATGAGCCACTCCCAGTGCATCCACGACGCGAATGAAGACTTCCTGCAACGCCGCGCTGCCGCGGATCGTGGCGTCCCAATGCGCCTCGCACTCGTCATTCCAAGCTTTAACGAGCGGCTCTCGCGCCTGGGGCCGTAGCTTAGCCGCGTGGGGTAGAAGGCCTATCGCCCGATCGACCTGCGCTGCTTCTTGGGCAGCAGCGTGCCGATCGTCAGCAGGAGCTGGTGAGGCCAGCATTGCAAGACCTCGCAAACATTGAGAATGGTGGCGAGCTCGTCCAGTGCTGCAAGCTGAACCCGATCCAGACTCAAAGCCCGCCATGGCTGATGCCTTCACGCGATGGCCTGCTGCTCGCAAGCCCTCGCCCGATAGCCCCCCCCCCAGCCTCTCGTCTGATATGCGCTGTCCCCGACACCCTAGCCAACGCCCTACCCGACACCGTGCCCGACGCCGTCCCCGACACCCTACCCGAAGCCATGCCCGACGCTATGCCCGACGGACATCCCGACGGTCTTCCGGACGGCCCTCTCGACTCCCAGTCAGTCGGGGGTGGACAGAACCCCCAACAGTGACACGTCGATTAGTGAATTGTCCGTTTTCGGTTCTCGAGAGGGCGCCGTGGCCGTTATTTTCCAGGCTTGCGCCCGCCAGGTTTGGGCCGCAGGTCGATTTCACTAAACCACGTTTTGCTAAAGGGGGGTCTGTCCATCCCCGAGTCAGACGCCCAGCCCGACGTATCCTCGGGGCTGGCCGACGCCGCAGCCGACGTGTCCTGCAGGAGGCCCCACGGCGGGCGGAGGGTTGCGTGGTTGCCACTGGCGATCCCACTGGCAAGCAGTCTTGGCCAGCGGTTCGACGTGGTGCAGCCAGGCACGCACGTTCTGAGACACATCTCTCCTGGGAGGGCACAGGAGCGCACTGCTTCGTGTGGAAGCCGATGGCGCGTGTCAGAGGGGCGGACACCGCGCCGACACGCATTTTTGCCATTGGGAGTGGGCAGAGGCGGGAGGATCTGTCGGTCTTCGAGCAGCCGAAGGGGGCGAAGTCTTGAGGGTGCAGGCGAAAGCTGCCCGTGGGTGCACTCAGAGCGGGGACCAATCTGTGAACTTCTGCGTCAATCATCCGGGGCGCTGGGTCTGCCGTCGGATGGTTATTGGGAGGAGATGGCCACACTGAGGCAGCGATGCCCTCGGAGGACTGCGTCCACCATGCGTCCTGTCTGTAGATGCCGTACGGTAGGTTTGCGTCGTGTCGACCAGCAGCGACCCCAGCGCGGGCGTTCAAGGTTGAACGCCGTCGGCGACCCAGAATCGATCGATGTTGAACGATTGGACGTTGCGGCAGCGGCCGATCGTTCAAGGTTGAACGATCCCTGCGGTGTCAAAAACCAACGCTGGGGTCGGCACGACACGAACCTGCCGTATGATCCGTCTCAAAGCGCATCCGTCTTTTCGGTTGCAGAGGCGAGCTTCGCTTGATGACCCGTGCATGGGACTTGAGAGTGGACCAGAGTGCCCGCCACTCCCAGGAAATTTTTCCCAGGGTGGCGTGGAACCACGCTTTGTTGCTTTCTGCGAGCACAACAAAGCATCGATTCCAAGCAATGTCAAGCAACGCCAACCAATCCCAAACAATGCATATCAATGCCAAGCAATATTTTGCATTGCGTTGCTCTGCATTGCTCAGAACTGCGTTGAAATATTTTGGAGGAAAGAGGACCACTAATTGGTGTCGTTGCCGGGCTCATCTTCCCCACCCTCGACGTCGGGCCCCCTACACGCTGTCTCTTTTTCCCCCTCTTTTTTCTTTATCTGTTTATTGTTTTCTTTCTTTCGTTCTCTCTCTCTCTCTGCCTCTCCCTGTTCCCACGATCAAATGAGGGCAACACGTCTGGATGGTTACGGCATATCGGTGCAGTGTGGTGAGCATCCGGCAGACGTTTCGTCAGTTTCGGGTCTTCACAGAGATAGACTAGCACCCTCGCCTGGTGCCCTGCCCAGCTGAGCTCGGCGCGGCCGCGATGTTCGCCTTCGTGCCCACGGCGAGGAACGAGTCCTACATGCGCGCTGGGGAGGTCAGCGCACGACCCGCCCGCCAGCGGGGCCGTATGGGGGCGGGTCAGGTTGGGGCACCTCCCTGTGGGGCGCGCCGGCTGTGCAGCTACGCCGCAGCTTTGCGCCGCCCGCCCGACGACGCGGCGGGCGCGCTTCACGCAATGCCCGCCGTCGAGTCGCTCCTCCTTCTCCTCCTCCTCCTCCTCCCTTTCCTCCTCCTCCCTTTCCTCCTCCTCCTCCTTCTCCCGTTCCTCCTCCTCCTCCCTTTCCTACTCCTCCTCCCTTTCCTCCTCCTCCTCCCTTTCCTCCTCCTCCTCCTCCTCCTCCCTTTCCTCCTCCTCCTCCTCCTCATCCCTTTCCTCTCCTCCTCCTCCTCCTCCCCCTCTTCTTCCTCTCCTCCCTTTCCTCCTCCTCCTCCTCCCCTCTCTCCTTTCCTCCTCCTCCTCCTCTCCTCGCCTCCTCCCTCCTCCTCCTTTCCTCTCCTCCTCCTCCTTTCCTCCTCCTCATCCCTTTCCTCCTCCTCCTCCTCCTCCTCCTCCTCCTCCTCCTCCTCCTCCCATTGAAGCGCTTGGGCAGCGGGCCCGCGACAGGAGAAAACGCGAGGAGGCTGATCCCTCGGATGATGGTTCACCTGTTTGTTCTCGTTTTTGATGCATGCTTACCCGTCGGTCGCTGAAAGTAGGTACGTCTGGGTGCCTTCCGACTTCAGTCGTCGTGTGGCTTCCCCTGTTCCTTCCCTTTCAGGGGGCGGGCGGAAGCTTAATCTACTTCCGGCGCCTTCCTGCTTCATGCTTCGACCCACTTCAATCATCGAGTGTTTTCCCGTATTCCTTCCTCTTCAGGGGGCGGGCGGAAGTCCAGTCTGCTTCAGCGCCTTCCTACTACATGCTTCTACCCACCTCTTCCGACCGACGGGCAGTGTGTGCTGGCGCCTTCAGCTGGTGTGGGCCTTCTCCTCCCCGCTCGCTCGAGCTGCGCGCCTGCGGCCGCACCAAGTGCCGCTCGCAGGGGCTGCGCAGATGGTCGCGCGATCCGCGCCGCCGCCGCCGACGGGGGGCGCCAGGGGGGGCCCTTTTTCAGGCGCGGCGGCGCGATGGGCGCGAAGACGACCCGCGCAGCGCACACCGCGGGGCCGCGCCGCGCACGCTCCTCCTCCTCCTCTTCCTCCTCCTCCTCCTCCTCCTCCTCCTCCTCCTCCTCCTCCTCCTCCTCCTCTCCTCCTCCTCCTCCTCTCTCCTCCCTCCTCCTCCCTCCTCCCTCCTCCCTCCTCCTCCTCCCTCTGGAAGACCTTTGCTGCGGCCCCAGACCCCCCTCGGGTCGTGAGACAAGCACGACGGCAGGCTTGCTTTGCGATGGACGGCGTGACGTGCCCACACCAGCAAAAATCAATGGACGTCCTGGGGTCTCAGGGTTGGGTTTCTGGTGGAAGGCTTCTTGTGGTCGAGCTCCTGCTGTACAGCCAGGCGGGCAGCCAGGGCCCATGGACTGGGCACCTCCTCCATCTGATCCCTCCCCAGCCCCCCCCCGTGGACCTGGAGAAAATCACGACATAAGGTTTTTCATTGCCTTTGGCCTCTGGTGCGGGCCTTCCCAGGCCCCGGGGCCGTCAAAAAACGACTCTGGACAAAAAACCAGTCCCAGGGAATTGGTCGAGATCTCTGCGGGTCGACGCTACGAAAACATCATAATGTCGGGGGTTTGGGTCGGGCGCTGGCTGGTAACCGTCTCCCAGCTTCTCCTCCAAGACCGACTACAGAGTCGACTTGCCCCAATATTGAACGTTTTTTTCTCGTCGAGGCTACGGAGAGAGAGAGGACGTCGAATTTTCGTGCATCTGCGAACATTATACGTCTTTTTCGTGGATTCGCTGACAACATGAATTTTGGGGTACATCAGCTCTGTAATCGATCCCCTGCTCAGTCCATTGGTGGTGACTTCTTTGTCATATGCTCCCCAGGCCGACTGTGCGCCTCCCTGGCTCCCTGCGCCGCCGTGGCAGCTGCATGCGCGCCCCCTCTGGTTTTCGGGGCGAGAGCCTTCGGCAAGACGGCGCGCAGACCGCTGCAATGCCGGGTCCGACCCGACCACTGGGGACGTCAGCTGACCACCTCACCGATCCCGGCCGGGCCCACCCCTTCGGCCCAGGACCGGTGCGTATGGCTTCCCTGGCCGAGCCCCGGGGAGGAGGAGGAGGAGGAGGAGGAGGAGGAGGAGGAGGAGGAGGAGGAGGAGGAGGAGGAGGAGGAGGAGGAGGAGGAGGAGAGGAGGAGGAGGAATAGGAGGAGG